TGGGGACGTGGAGATGCGGGTCCCAGCCAGCACAGGAGCAGTCAGGCTGGAGCAGTCAGATGGACCACCATCTCATGTGGTCTACCTGGACTTCAGTAAGGCCTTTGACACCGTCTCCCACAGCATTCTCCTGGAGAAGCTGGCGGCTCACGGCTTAGACAGGTGTACTCTGCGCTGGGTCAAAAACTGGCTGGACGGCCGGGCCCAGAGAGTTGTGGTAAATGGAGTTCAATCCAGTTGGCGGCCGGTCACGAGCGGTGTTCCCCAGGGCTCAGTATTGGGGCCAGTTCTGTTTAATATCTTTATCAATGATCTGGATGAGGGGATCGAGTGCACCCTCAGTAAGTTTGCAGACGACACCAAGTTGGGCGGCAGTGTTGATCTGCTCGAGGGTAGGAAGGCTCTGCAGAGGGACCTGGACAGGCTGGATCGATGGGGCCAGGGCCACTGTATGAGCTTCAACAAGGCCAAGTGCCGGGTCCTGCACTTCAGCCACAACACCCCCATGCAGCGCTACAGGCTTGGGGAAGAGGGGCTGGAAAGCTGCCTGGCGGAAAAGGACCTGGGGGTGTTGGTCGACAGCCGGCTGAACATGAGCCGGCAGTGTGCCCAGGCGGCTAAGAAGGCCAACGGCATCCTGGCCTGTATCAGAAATAGTGTGGCCAGCAGGAGCAGGGAAGTGATAGTGCCCCTGTACTCAGCACTGGTGCGGCCGCACCTCGAATACTGTGTTCAGTTTTGGGCCCCTCACTACAAGAAGGATGTTGAGATGTTGGAACGTGTCCAGAGAAGGGCAACGAGGCTGGTGAAGGGTCTGGAGAACAAGTCTTATGAGGAGCGGCTGAGGGAGCTGGGGTTGTTTAGCCTGGAGAAAAGGAGGCTGAGGGGAGACCTCATTGCTCTCTACAACTACCTGAAAGGAGGCTGTAGCGAGGTGGGTGTTGGTCTCTTCTCCCAAGTAACTGGCAATAGGACAAGAGGAAATGGCCTCAAGTTGCGCCAGGGGAGGTTTAGATTGGATGTGAGGAAAAATTTCTTTACTGAAAGAGTGGTGAAACATTGGACCAGGCTGCCCAGGGAAGTGGTTCAGTCCCCATCCCTGGAGGTATTTAAAAGACGGGTAGATGAGGCACTTAGGGACATGGTTCAGTGGGCATGGTGGAGTTGGGTTGACGGTTGGACTCGATGATCTTAGAGGTCTCTTCCAACCTTAATGATTCTATGATTCTATGAAATAATGTTTTTTAATTGATTTCAGAAAGGGGGTGGGGGGGAAAGCAGTATGAGCACCACTTCCCTCCTCCCTGCCAGGTGGATGTGATGGGAGGACCAGGTCAGCCACAGCATGTCATGTACCTGATGGGATCCTGATCTTCTTAGGCTCAGAGGGAGAAAATGGGGAAGCAGAGGGGCTCTGGTGAGGGAAACGTGTCAAGGATGATATGAGCTACCACTGCTGCTGAGACAAGGATGATACTTTCTTGCAAATCCAGCACCCATGCACATGGTGGTCACCTCTCGCAGGCCAGGTATCTGTTGAGTCACAGAGAACTAAACCGTGGCAACTCAATACATATGAAGCCAGTTCTGATCCCCTTAACATCTCCTCTTCAGTCTGGTTTGATTTGGGTAAGACTATTCACAAAATACCTTAGTTCCCAATTTCACAACAGCCCAGCCCATCATGCCTAGAGATGCATTTTTTACCACCGCTGAGGATTTTGCAGACTGCAGCACACAAGACAAATACCTCTCATGTATCCCATCTTTTGGGTTAAAGAACAAAACCATAACAAGATGAGTTGGCGATTTTGACACAAAAACATCATTAGGTTCAGTACTTACAATTGCATGACCAGATATAAATGGTTAGGACTCTCATAGATGTCTTCCAGGGCAACTATATTTTCATGCTTGATCCTGAAAAACCATAAGATAAGATAAGATGAAATACTGATTTTTATTTTTTTATGTGGCTGCAAAACATAAAGCTATTTTTAGTTAGACGCTACTTGTCAGTGCTTTATTCAACATCATAAGATATGATCTTGACCAAAGTAAACAGTCAGGAGTGCTTTGCAGCCCAGAATACTGTTATTACTCACAGAAAATTCCTTCAGTCCTCTCTGAAGCCAAAATATTTAAGGGTTAAGTATCTGGGGCATTAGAGGTTTACAGTTCCCGTGTCAGATGCATGAAGATGGTTGGTTGGAGGTTGAAATCTCGGGACAGCAGCAAAGCAGGGTGCGAGGGGGCAGGGTGCTGGCTGGCAGGGAGAAGGCAGGGATTTGCCCCCATGCAGAAGCTGGCACAGATAGGCAGCAGCTGTACAACAGCCCCAAGCTCCTTCCCACCAAATTCGCCCTGCTCCAGTGTCACACCTGCTCTGGATGCCTGAATTTCCCTGGAGCGTTATTAAGCACCACGTGGTTTCTGTGCAACGGCTCCAAGCATCTTCATGGGTTTTCTACACTCTCACCATTCCCACTGATCATTCCCACTAAGCCTCTTGTCAAAATGCTAGCTTTAAAGAAAAAATCATCTCTACAAGCATACATCTAATTACTCAGAGCAATGCCTCTCTGGGTTTGCTCCTTAAATGCTTACAAATAATTTCCAAAGGATACATTTAACTTGTGCAAACCCTCAAGAGACCACCAGCACAACTCCAGGGTCAGAATAGTAATTACACCAATTGCAGACAGTTGTTTTAAGAGCAAGAGAAAGCTGGGAAATGCTAAGCAGAGACCACTCATTAAACAACAGATGGACACGTTCAGAAACTGAAAGTGCATTGTCAGCAAATGCAAAACTCTCTACATGTTTCAAGGTTCAAGTAGCTTAATTAAGATGCTTAATCATATGTCAGAACCTCATCCTCAACGGTCCCAAGTGCCCTAATGTCTGCGTGAAGATGTTGAGAGCAGAAGGTCCCCTGTGCCCGGCAGGATCTTTCCCGTAAGAACGCAGACTAATCCAATTTCCTCTGAATTCACTGGAAAGATTATGACTGACCTGAATTCACGCCCATAATCAGCCATCAAAAGCTGCATTCATATAAGGACCTTCACACACAGGAAATTTAACATCAACAATAAGTGAACTCAAATATAATGCACTACAGGATGTCAGAGCAACAAATACATGAGTAGGCTCCTCAATCTACATAAATTTCTGGGAAATCCCATGATATTTTAGCAAAATTTCCAGATAGACTGCATCACAAATTAAGTTCTTAATACTGACAATAGGAAATCAATACACTACCCACTTGGCTTTACACAGCACATGTTTGGAAACCTTTATTTTGTTGTGCAGGTCTAGTGCCTGGTCCCTTAAGGGTTACAGTTAGGGCAAGGGCAGTTTTGCCTTGTTGAAGTTAGCTGAAGGTACACTAGGATCCCAAATGACATTTCAAGCAAATAGTCACTTTTAATGGAAATTATTATATGTATTTATCCATTTTCGTCTATGCACATGCACATTCATGTGATCATTTGTGTATCTCATACGATCATGATCAGGCAGTTTTAACACAAATAATGTACTATAGCATTATCTGTTTAAAGCCTCCATCTTAGTCTGCCATATGACTTTTACCGTGCGCATATTAATGCTTTGCATTTCTATTTTTGAGAACCTCAGAGGTTCACCAAACCAACCTAACTCCCTCTGAGACAGCTGCCAGCAACACCTAACTGTCACACACAGGGCTAACGGGTGGGTTACCCACAAAGACGAACAGCCAGGGAGGCAGAGGCCAGAAAAGAGCTTATCAGACACGCAACGCTGCACGCTGAGGGTTGCTGCAAGACCCTCTCCCCTTCCTGATTTGCAAACCAAATGGGCACTGCGCCGCTGCGCTCTCTGAAGGTGGATAAACTTGCTCGGTTTTAAAGTGAAGGGGGGAGAAAGGGTTTAGTCCCACCAGTGTGGGGTTGTCTGTATTGAGCCAATCTGCCTCTCTTTGAAATCAGATGCAGGATGTGAGCACATGGCATTCAGGGAGACAGTGAATATTAAGTGTAATCTGGAAGAAGGCAGCTGAAGAAGCTGAATCACCCCCAAAGTACAAAGCGGGCCACCCCCATAGGGATGAGGGTATTTGGAACAAGATGTCCCTTTGGGAGGTCATGCCTGCGCACACCAGCCACTCCAAGCACTGGTGGCCGCTGCACTCGAGGGGCTGGCTGAGATGGGAAGGAGGTATTTTTTTCCACTTTCTCTCATCCTCCCCAAGACCAGCAAGGCCTTAATCGTGGAGTTACACAGTGCTTAATATTCCTGGTGAAGTGCACATCACATGCCTGCAAATGAAGCAGCTTGTCCCGCACAGCATTTCTCTACTCAGATGGACTCTCAAATGACAAGCTATTTAAAGGAAAATGGAATTCAAAATAAAAAAAAAAATAAAAATCAATGGAAACCACTTGGGGAGAATCCTATGGTTTAGATTAAGTTGCAGGTTGTGATGCTGAAGCTGGACCAGAGCAGCCGTGGGCTTCCCAGCAGAGGTCACTGCAGCCAGCAGCAGCCACCCGCTCCTCTGCCCTTCACTCCACCCGCAGAAATTAGTGTGCTCCTTTCTTCTCTTTAAAGCATGGGCAAGCGATCGCCTACAGCCCTGATACACAATAATTAACCCTTCAAGGCCGAACACTGTTCATTACAGTAACACCCCGGCATTTGGGAGATCGGATGTGATATCCTCACAGCATTTTGTCCATACTACAAAGGCCGATGGGGACTGGGACAAGTTTGTTCCCACTCCTCTGTGAGCAGATCGGCAGCGCCAGACATGCAGGTGACAGCCAAACAAGACATTTCTGGCTTGCACGGATGCTCAGTTTCTCAGTTTCATCAAGAGCTGAGGAAAGCACTGTGCAGCGGCAGCTAGTTGATGGTCACGGATCAGGAGGGATTTGGGAATGGCTTAATTAACTCCACTTTTATCCCCCTCTAGAAGCGCCACGTGAACCTCAAAGGTTCAGAGGATTCATTCTGCTAAGCTTCCAAATGCCTCCGCACAGCCCCACCGGTGATCTCGCTTAGCAGAAATACTCACCGGACTATCTGATCTCCTCAGGACCTGCCAGGATTTATTTTTTTAACAGGTGCTGCTCTCATTTTACAAAAGGGGAAGCGGTATGCAGAAAAGCTAAAAGTTTTTCTGTAATTACATGAGAGGCGGGAGCAGAGGGGGCTGAGAAACCAGATCCCCCAACCCCAGAGTATTATCTTAACCAATGGGCCATATTAGTCCAATCCCTTCTCCTTCCTATCTCGGTGAGAGGATCTTAACCCCACTTCTCTGCAGCCTTTTTCTTCCCTCTGCCTTTCCTCTCTGGCCTCCCCCTGTCCCAACGTGTGGCTCCCACGCTGCAATAGATAAACCTGCCCTGGATTAACTCTGCGCAAAGCAACGCACCAATGTTGTTGTGGTACGTGATGGTACAACATTATGGCTGTAGCAGAGGGGACATGGACATGGACTGGGGTGACAGCAGTTCCCATTAATTGTTTCCAAAAAAAGAAAAAAAGCCCCAAAAGTGAACATCAAAACATGGGCTTGGTTAAAGCAAATTAGATTACATAAATTGTTATGAACAAGGAAACATCCAGCTAAGGAAATCTCCCTTACCACCCTTTTAACCTCCCCTTCATCACACTTGCTGTTTTCCCTGATGCTCTCCCTCCTTCCTGGCAAACCCCAGGTGCTGCTCGCATCTCCCACACCCTGGTGTGTGCCTGCAAATCCCCCCATCTGTGACCCAAGGGGCAGGTGCCACCTCCAGCCACTGCTGCTTTGTTAATTTTCAGGAACATTCTGAGGCCATTCGACAGAAAGAAGACAGCTAGAAATAAAAATACAAATAAAGAGAGGCCAATACTGTAACCAATTCACTCAGGACTCTTCACCTTACAAGGCCCATGAGATGCTGCAATCCAGGGGACAAAGAAGAGGAAAATAAATCTAGAAGTGACAACCGGGGAAATTTAAGTATATAAAAAACCATGAAGAGTGATTAATCCTGGTAAAAAACTATGAAGAGAAAGGATGGAAGAGAAAGGATGGATTCACCATTTTCAGGGCAGCGCTGATTTGGATGCCATGCCACAGGCAGACACGAGCCACAAGGCTTGATGCAACCCTGCGAAATTATCAAGTTTGCCCTCGGACCTTTCAGGTCTGTGGTTCTGTCCATGTGCTGTTACAAAGGTGTCAGCAACACAAATGAATGGAGACAATGCTGCACCTGAGCAATATTTTAGCATATGAGCAAATCGCCAGCCAAGACTTAAAGGAGCAAACTGAACTGGGCAACCAACGACTTCGGGTGACTTTTCCAAGCATGGCAGCTGTGCAAACAAGGGCTGACGGGAAAGCGTTTGATCTGCTGCAGAGCCCCAAGCACAGACTGGTCCCCTTTGCTTGCTGTGGAGTCGTTGCGCAAGAGCGTTGACAGGGGAATTGTCGTTTTTCCCTGACTGCTACAGCATCCAGTGCTGCTGAAACACAGAAACATCTGCCTCTGAAGGAGCTGAAACCCATCCCCGAAGCAAGACCCAACTTGACCATGCATTTGGCCCTGCATGACAGTTTCCACCATGCCAAACTGGGTGTGCTGCGGCGTTGGAGTAGTGATGAGTGTGTGGCATGGCACTCCAGTGATGTTAAATCCACCCTCACCATGGGCCAGAACAGAGCCGCCACATCCTACTCACTGCCACCAGAAGAGCACAAGTCCCATAGGATCACAACTAGCCCTAATGGGTAAAACTTGCTTCAACATTCACCAAAAATTAAAAAAAAAAAATCAATATATTCCATGGGCTTTGGCTGGAGATTGCTTTTAAGAAGCAAAGGATTAAAATACGGAAGTTGATGTACAATAAGGGAAACTAAATCCTTTAATGAC